CTAGCTTATAATATAAATTATTTAGTACAAAATGTCTAGTACAACCACAAAATAAGAAAATAATCATTTACTACGACATCAAGCATTCAAGCTTCAACTACTCAGTAAAGGGAATAATAGGATTAGCTTCAGAGGTTTGTATTTGGCTTTCAATATCATCATCATTGAATATCATTGCTTCCAACTCTGATTCATGAAGAGAAGGTTTTACAATCTCCAATATTCTCATAACATCAAGAGACTCAAGCTCATCTCCAGCAGTATCCCACATCTTGTTATTACATGTCATATAAAGTGGGGTCTTTCTTAATAGAAGATAAAAATTTATATACACATAAACTAAATCTTCTGCCCGTTATGAAATAATTTTGTTCCTTTTCATCGATTGAATGAATAAGTATGTGCTCCAATTTTTCTCACAACAAGAGAATGAAACTTGACCTAGAAATTTAATTGCTATTATTTGAAGTAGCGGAGTTGAAGCTCCATGAATCAACCATAACATTTTTGGATCTATTCCCAATCTATCAACTAAATATTCTTGATCATCAAAGTCCTCTAAATATCCAAGGAACTTTGCAAGTTTTATATTACTCTTTCTTCTCTCCTCCTCATTTGTGAAATAACATCTCAAATATATCTTTCTCATATTTGAAACCTCTAAATCTTTTTTGGGGCAAGACACGTTGAGGGTCTTCTTGATGTCATTCTTTACTTGAATATCATATTTTAAACCTCCAAAGAACTTGCAAGATTGTTATTACATGCAAAAGTAAATGCATTCTTATAATAAATATTCCTTACAATGTTGAAAAGAAGTCCAACCGAAAAAAACATCATTGCAGTCACCATCAAGTTACTCTTTCATTTGGATATTAAAATTCTTCTCTAACGAACTACTAGCAACTCCTTTTCTTTTCTTAGATTCAGATCATTCAAAACTAAATGAACCAACATGATCAACTCTAACGGAGGAGGAAACAGTGTGGGATGAACCATGAGTAGAGGGCAAAGGTTTCTCTTTATAAAGTACCCTTTTGATTCGTGATTCAGCTTCATTAACCTGTATGTTCAATTCTACAAACTGCGAAGTAGTAATCTTAGGATATATTTTAATATTGTGGCCACCAATCTTAAGTAGATGTGCTTTCACCCCAGAATATGATCCTTTGTAGGTGACACCATAGTAATTGCATTTGAATGATACATTTCGACCACCTTCAAAAGTCTTTCCTAACTTTGTAACATGATTCCATAAAGGCTTATTGGCATCTATAGAAGGCTCTGTTGAACCTTGGCCGGTTCCAATCCCACCACCAATAAAGCCCGTTCTACCTTTAAAAAAATGATTGAATGGAATATAAAAAGTCTTAGAATTAGGCAATCATACACACTTTTGCTAAGATCTATAAAAACCATAGGAATATCATGCTTTTCTCTCTATATTTTTCTATTAATTCTATTAAAAAAAACTAAATTCTCAATAGATATTTCGAACATCAAAATCAAATTGATTCTCTCAAACAATAAATTAGATGACCATGTTTTATGGGGATGAGCATGTGATAAAGATATCAATAATAAACTATTTGAGTGTGACAAAGATAGGACTGCTATGACATGTATGAAAAGACTAAAAATAATAAGCTGACAAATAATTATATAAGGAGAATTGTGAGAGTATTGCATTTTAAATATAAAATAGCAAAAAAAAATTAAGTACTTTAGGCATGTACAATAAAGATTACAATATGCACCAATAAGGCATACATATAAAGATCTTTCAGCCATAATCGAAATTCTTCTTATTGCATGTCACTAAAAATTGCAAACACAAGTAGGCATAAAAGTTTTCAATAATCATTACTTACTCTCAAAATAAAAAATGATTCATTCTCTAATAATCATGCAAAATATAACAAAGCTAAGTAACCCTGAAACATTGTCGGATATACCATCAGACTTTTAGCAACAAAGACTAAAAATATGGCTATTACTACATTGATGACTAGGGAATTAGGTGCAACAACATAGCTTCAAGAGCACCGAGCAAGCACAAGGAATGAAGGGCTAGGAAGGAGAAAGGAACAGAGGAGAGGAAGAGTAGAAAGAAGAAGGGGAAGGGAATATACCTGCGGGAGTGAGGTATGGTCGACCCAACAAGAGGCTCAAGGAAGTCGAGTCCAACAGCTGGAGCGGAACTCGGGTTAGGGCCCGGGATCGGAGGTCAGGCACTGGCTTCGGTTTGCTATGTGTGCTAAAGAGACGAAGGAGGAGAGAGGTTTAGCGAGTCTTCCTGTGTGAGATCGAGGGAGAGCAGAGGTGGAGAGATCAGCAAGGTCCTGCTCACGCGAGAGAGGCGTAGGATATAGGGGCTTCAGCCTAGAACGAGAATGTCAGTGTTGAGTAGTTGAGCAGGGCCTACGGTCTGCAAGCACTACAGGCGACGGGAGGAGGGAAGTTTGAAACCAGGAGGGGCTGCGGTAAACAGAGCAAGGGGGAGAAAACCCTAAGGCGTACGACAGACAGTGGGCTCGAATTGATGCATATACAATGTAGTGTTTTATTTAATTGAGTAAATATAAAAATATTAAAATTTTGTATTTTAAATTAAAGTTATCATTAAAAATTAGGACACACGTATTCATTTAAATTTAAAAATTATTTTAATCGGACACGTGTCAACCATGTCCGACATGTGTCCCAACCATGTCGGGCACATGTCCGTATACGACACGTGTCAACCACTGCATTCTCTCTTTAAGAGGTGTGTCGATGCATCATAGAAATAAACTAAAGCTTTTGCTCTTTTTTTTTCTCTTCATTGGAAAGGGGTCTCTAAGGGGTGCTAAGGTTATATTTAGATTCAATATACTAAACAATTATTAAGGTCATATGCATCAATAGTATGGCTAAAACTCAATGTTTTAAAAGGAGAAATCGGGAATTGAGGCGTTTTGTCTAAGCGAAGCAAGGCGAGGCGTAAGCCTCGAGGCGGATCGAGGCGTAAGCCTCAAAACGGTAAGAATAAGCTAATGTAAAATTATAAATAATGATAAAAAATGATAAAATATTAAGTCAATTATGAACTTGATCATTTGTTCTAAGAAAAGGAAGCAAGCAATTATTTTCATGAGGGTTTATGTATAAAATTATACTGAATATTTGTTTGATAGAAAGAATATCGTTGATGTTTATATCTGAAAAGAATTAATACCATGAGGAGCCAGCGGTTTTTGGAGAAAATTAGGGATTAATGGGATAGGAGTTAATAACAAAGGAGGGAATTTGGGGCTCTATGCATGGCCGGCCATATGAAAAATTAATGGTTGGAAATTAAAAGCAAGTGGGGCCCACTTACTAGTCTAGTAATTAAAACATTCAGTTTTCTGAGATAAAACGTTGCCAGGCTTGAAGAGTTATCAATTAGAAGGAATTTGAATTGATCATTCAAATTATATCCAATTAATATTGGGGCCAAAATCAAGGTGCTAATTTTGGAAAGAATTTATGTCCTCATGAAACCACTTGGAATTTCAATCTTTGAAATTTGAATGAGGGGAGGAGAGAAACCGGCGGCCAATCCCAAGAACTGGGCTAGGGACGGGATGGGGAAACCTGCCGGGAGCAGCTGACAGGAAGGGCCGGCGGTCAGGCCAATCCAGTGGGGGCGACGGCAAGAAAATAGGGGAGGAAGAGGGAGTCGGCGGGGTGGGGAAGAAAAGGAGGGGCTTGAAGAAAACGTAATTGCCGGATTTACTAACCTTGCACCACGCCACCGGTAGAACTCACAAAGAGATCTCCGGCGAACTCCTCTTCAAGAACTCACAAAGAGATCTTTAGAGGCTTCATGAACTCACAAAGAGAATCATAAAAATAAAATTTTCATTTATCCAAAACTAACTATTACAAGAGAATGGCCATATAAATAGGCCTCACAATGACAAAGAAAAACAAAAGACTAAAATGCCCCTTGGGCTACAATAACTACCAAATACCCATAAGGGCAAAAACGGAAAAACATAAAATAAAAATAAACTACTACATAAAATGATGAAAATCCAGATCATGATCGTGGCCGTCGATCTCCGGCATCTCCTGAAGGTACATGTGTCGAAATCGCTGCCGATGTCCCCATCACTTTCATCTTCTCTTTTCGTCCTTGTTGTTCGGCTTCGTTGCTTCACAGGAGGTGTAGAGATTGCACGCGTGGCTTCTTTGGCTCCTTCGTTGCTGTTCGACTTAGCTCCTTCGACAACTTTCACTTCCTGTCGGATCATAAGTTACGACATTTTGATCGGAAGAAACAACAGGAGTTCGCTGGCTCGCTTGCTGTGAAGGTAACTTTCTCCCTTTCGAGGCGCTATCTCTATGCGCCTCGGTGCCTCACGCCCTGAGGCGTACGCCTCCGTGGAAAAAGGCGTAAGCCTCACCCGAACATTCGAGGCTTAAGCCTTAGTTCGCTCAAGGCGTCCGCCTCGATTCGAGGCACGCCTCAAGGAGACCGCCTCAAACGCCTTTTTAATCCATGCTAAAACTACCGTACATTTGATCCCATCATGCTACGGAAGTTCAGCAAAATTCTTCACATTCCATGAATGAGATTAGGGGACCAAATTTCATTATATATAGGAAAGAAGAACAGAATGACAAAATAAACATAAAAAATAGAAAACAATACAACTGACGTATCCACATGGGAATGCTTGTAAAGAAATAAACAATTCATAATTGATCAAAACAAGTAGTAAGTACGAACGTCCATGATAAACATAATATGAATCAAGTTATCACCCTCCTAAATTCTTTTAGATCAAAAAAAGAAAGCACGAGAAATTTTGTTGAACAGCATAAATAGTAAAGCATGTGGACTAAGAAGAAACAATTAAATTTTACAATTAAGAATATATGAATCAAACATAAAGAGGTGTGTCATTTTCAGAAGAGTCGATTTGATTTCTTTTAAAAACATTAATAGGTTTAAGTGGGAAAGTTATTACCAAAACTGACGGTTATTGCAAAATATTTTGTTGCCTCTACAATATGCTTTGAAAGAGCTAATGATCCTGTCAAAAAACTAAGCACAGAACCAGCACCTTTTGCCTGCATTCATCATATGGAAGACCATTTCACAATTTTTTCATCATATAATTTAAAATGGATTATGGAAATGTACCTGGGAATAATGTAAAGAGTGACCAGGATGCTCAGGAAGCCCTGCATAATTCACCTTCTTCACCCTTGGATGAGTTGATAAGAATTCAGCAAGCTTTTGAGCGTTAGCCTGTAACAAATAACTAAAATGAGCTAGACTAAGTAAAAACTACGTGCAAGCAAGAAAATTCATCTCAATAATTGTGCAGAATAACACCAAAGATGCATTAAAAGGTCACATGTTTGAAAAATGGTTTATGCTTACAGTGAAGCTTTAGAAGTCACCAAAAGTCATAAGGATATATTTCTGAAGCCTCTATCACTAAGACTTTAACGATTATAATGTTCACAAATATTATACACCAGAAGCACAAATCACAAAAGAAAAGGAGAAACTAGCAGAAATATTAACATAATGATAATAACAACAACAATATCAATAATATTGCTTAGCAAAGGGTAAGTAGAACCTGCTGCTTCTCCACTCGTAAAACCATGGTCTTGATACCTCTTAAGCAAAGCCAGCAGTCAAATGGTGCTAAGCCAGAGCCTTCTGCATTTTGGAGGAATGCAACTTCTTTGGCCAAGCTGAAATTTCGAAAAACAGTAAAATGATTGCTGCATCAAAATTAGTTCTTCACAGATGAGAATTATAGCTCAAAAGATTTTACAAGACATGGATATAACAACGAAACTATTCAAAAAGGTATAGAAGAGTGCAGGCCTAATGTATGTTCCAGAGAAAGCCCACAGAAAAAATAAGTTGCAGAAGTAATATCAACGCCCAATAAAGGAGTTTCAATAGTTGATGAACTTAGATTTCCTTAACTATAAATATTGATGAATTTTAAAACCAAAGATTGGTCTTGCTGCAAGAGATAAAGAGTTGAAGTAGTTTGAGAGATGAAGTTTCAAATTTCATAATAACAAATAGGTTGGGCCTCAAAGACAAAGTTGATATCATCAATGAAAGCCAAGTAGTAAACAGCTAGGCTCATTTTTTTACCACCTTAGTAGAAGGGCGGACTGTTTCATTATGATTCAAAAATAGTTGGAATGTTTGTGAAACTTTCAATTAAGCACATGATGAAGCCCATTGGGCCATTCATTATTGCTGAAGATATCCCACAAAATATCGTATAGATTAGCCATTAATAGCTCCTAATAATAATTATCCCTTTCTTTATTTGTTAAGGACATTTATGTATTTTCTTTACATTAGATTTGTTTGTTTTCATTAAGGGTACGTGATATTTAACTAACTATCCAAGTAATGCTACTATAAAAAGCACTATTATCCTTCATTTAGACCTAACTATTGAACAATGCATTGTTTCTCCATTCCGTTGGAAATTTCAGCTAGCAGGGAATTTTCATTGGAATTGAAGTTATCTCCTTCCTCCGATAGCATAGGAGCCATGTGAGAGATGGGTATCAAAATCCTAAGGTAATTACATTCCATTTCCCCTTCAATAAGCCAACAATCTCTTCTTTATATTTTCTTTAGATGAAAAAGCTATACCTAGCATCTCATTGCCCCAACTTTGTTATTTAGACCACAGCTATCACACCCACATGGTACTATCTTTAATGTTTATATATCCACCCTACTGCCCTGCTAGTTCTGCCACTATTTTTAGATTGCCACATTGCAAAATGACAATAATTGGATAACAGTTGAGGGTACATTCCATTCAAAAAATTGTGTTGAATCTATACAATCCTAGAAAAGCTTGTAAAAGGAACTATATAAAAATCAGGGATTGAAAAATAAATACAAAATTAATTACAATGAAATAACCCATAGATGTTCAAATTATAGTCTGGTAGCTCACATAGAAGAATGGTGAGGTGACAGCAAGAATCCAAAGGATTCATGAGGTCGCAAAAAGGAGGTTGTTGTGGTTCCAGAAGGGTGGAGAAGGCAGTGGGGAAGTTGTTGTGGATCCTGGAAAGCAGAGATAGAGGTGAAGAAGGTGTTGCAACTCCATGAGGGGGTGGAAGTCTGGGTCACTATAACATTCCCACTCAAGCAAATAAAAATATATTATGGATTCCAAACTTACCTAATAATTTTTAAAGATTACCATTGATAATCCTTCAGCAAGAATATCTGCAAGTTATTCACCTATAATTTTATATGAAGTACAGATTATACCATTATTAAGCTCTTTTTCTTTATAAAATCTTTTTCAACTTTATTTGTAATATACAATCATGCTTCATGAAATTATATGTAATATTGATAGGTAAATTATTATCATAAAAAAACCTCATAGGACTTTTTCACTAAAACTTTAAATCTTCTAAAACGATGATTCTTAGCCATAGTAATTTCCATATTTCCAATGTCATAAATCTAAATTTGGTTGTTATGCTAAATTTTACGATCAAATTTTATTTCTTACTGCTCCAATCACAAGGTTGGCTCCTAAAGATGTGCAATAATCTAAAGTTGACTTCTTGTCAACTATAAAACACACATAATCTGCATTTGCATTTGCTTGAAGAGTCAAATCCTCTCCTTTTTAGAATAGAATTCTTTTATCCAAGGTTTCCTTCAAATATTATAGAATTTTATATTTCTACCAAATAAGTGATTATTTAGATCGTGTATGAATTGGTTCAAAAAATTGACATCATAAGCAATGTCAAATCTAGCATCGTGATAAGTAGATAAAACTTCTCATTAAGTCTTTGATATGAGGTTTTTTCTACTGCTATGTCTTCTAAGAAGCATCTCTAAATTTATAATTAAAATCCATAGAAGCACCTCCAAATTTATAATTAAATTTCATAGATTCCTCAACATACTTGCATCCCAACTTACATATATCTTTCAATAGGTGCATTATTTTTATTTTGTTTTGATATAAAGATTTTATGTTGAGAGCATGCATCTTCAACAATAAAGAAATATTTTAATTTGCATAATTCTTTGAAAAATATTTGGAGTAATCTTTTCTTTAAGTTCTGTATTCTTTCCACATCAATACCTATCTTGATAATGTCACAACAAGCTAGTTCGGTTGAGACTCTCCCTAAAATCAACTGCTTTGCAAATAATAAATGGTGCACTTAACTTTGTTTATATCACATGTTGAGCACTAGTACCTTGGCAAACCTTCCAAACTAAGCCCTTGGAGATTATTTCAACCCATACAAACCTTTTTTTATCTTATGCAATTTTTTTGTTTTGATATTTCTTCCAAAGAATAAATAGTAATATATATGAAGGTACCATTAAGACTTTCTTCAAAAAGGGGGAAAATACATTTAAACCATTTTTCAATGGAAGAATAACCAATGAGGACGCATTTAATCACCTATAGATCACATTTTTCTCTTTTTATGAATGTGTACGAACAAAGAAAATACTCTCAAATATTTTGAGAACAAAGTTTTTTTGAGTTATTAGAGGGAAATAATTTGGCAAGACTTTGTGGAACTCTTGAACCTAAGAACCATTGTACGTAATTGATTTTTTATGAACAAACATTAGAATAGATTCCCCAATATTGAGTTGGAATATACTTTCAAAGGAGAGCCCTTATGGAAGCAAGTAGGTAGGTAACTGTTATTTCGTCACCAACTTCATTTTGTTGGGATGACTACAACGAACATGCAATATTCATTGATTTTTTTTTGGAAGTATGAGGAGAAAGAATGGTTAAAATAGTCTTTAGCATTATAGGATTCAATTCTTTTAATTTCAACTCGGAATTGTTTGTTTAACCATGCTGTAAAAAGTGGAAAAGATGGTGTTCACATCACTTTTGTCTTTTAGAAAAAATATCCAAAACATATGGGTACAATCATAAAAGATACAAACCACCAAACATAAAAATATGAGGTGTAGAGGATGATCCATAGATGTCAATTCGAATGAGAAAAAAGAATAAGAGTTCTTATGTTACTTGATGAAAAGCTAGTAAGTTAGTGTTTTGCCTGTTCACAAACATCAAATGAAATTATTAATTATTTTTTTTAATAAATTAGTAAACAAAATTTTGAGAATAATAAATGACCAATGACGAAGTCATAAGTGTTGAAACAAAATCTTATATTTATTGGACCTAAGGATTTTTTAAATAATAGATAAAATCAAAGGTTGCATGAAACTTTCTTTGGTAAATAATTTAAATACATAGGGGGCATTAAGGAGTATAAGGAATTTGTTTATACGAAACCTCATTGACAGCCAATAATTATCAAGGATCCATCGACAATTATTAATTATCATTTCTAGGAAAAAAAAGTATAAATTAAGCTTGTAAAAGGAGTTGATCATAGTAGCATGTAGCTATCTAATAAATAATCAAAGAAACCAAAGACTTCAAAACTGGCATCTTTAAGATTACAAAAACATGAGAAACAAGTAAACCTGAGAATGCCAGAATACAAGTAGCTGTGGTAGGTAATTTTTTCCACATGATGCAATCAAGTTATTCAACTTTTCCATTTCTTCTTCATAACACTGATGAGGACATCCGGCCATGAAAAGTTTATCAGAGCAAGGGCCGGAGATCTATGGCTATGATCAGATACTCTATTTCTAAGCATTTATTTGTATATGATTTATTATGTTTAATTTTCCATTTTTACCCTCACTTGAGGGAGTAAGCTTATGTGACCCCAAGGGGCACTTTTGACATTTAATGTTTTATTGCATTTTGACTATTTATAGGCCTCACCTCCACCTTGGGAGGGATGATGATTATTATGAATGAAAATTTTCATATTTTGTGTCTAGGTGTGTTTGAGAGCCTTCAGAGTTCTTGTGAGAGCTTATGTGAAGTCCCTAGGGGAGGGCAAAGCAAGACCCGTCAGCCGCAGAAAGCATTTGGGCTCAGTTTATCTCCGCCCCCACCCCCAATGAGCTTGCCACCGCCGTCATCTCGTCCTGAAGCTCCAACTGATCCCCTCATTTCTCCTCCTAGCCTTGACCATACACAACCTCTCCTTTCCCCCCTCTTCATAGCCACCGACCACCTCCTTGTTTCCATGGCCGAAACCATCATGACCCCTTCCCTTTCCCCCCCAAAATTTCAAATTGATCCTCTAACATTTTCCTTAATTAGCCTAGCGTTAATTTCCAAAAAGAAAATTGAAATTCAAATTTGAAATATCCTAAAACTTTGAAATCCTTTCCCAAATTGTTGGGTTATATTTGGAAATATATCCCAATCAATAAATTTGAGTATTAATTAGAGTTCCCAATTAATTCTCCTTGCAAAATTAGCCTAGTGTTAAATTTAAAAAATCTGAAATTCAAATTCGAAACCTCCTAAAGTCTTGAATCCTTTCTCAAATTGTTGGGTTATATTTGGAAAGATATCACAATCAATCAATTTGAATATTAATTGGAGATCCCAATTAATTTCTCTAAAATTGTTGGGCTATGTTTGGAAGGATATCCCCATCAGCAAATTTGAATATTGATTGGAAATCTAAACTAATTCCTCTTTCATTAACTAGTAAGCTATAGTTGACAACTCCACTAAGGCCCCAAATCAGCCCCCTAATCATTTAGTTGTTGTCCAGAATTTCTGGAGAATGTAAAGTGATGTTCGGGCTTGCAAGAGGGT